GGGCAGGTAACGGAACTCAGGTCTCCCAAGTCCCAGTCTAATGCTCTATCCACTGCACGAAACTGCTTTGCTAAAATAGCGGAGACTTACAATAGGTTTAATAGTACTGTTCTACATATTACTATACAATGACATTTAACTTCTTCCACCGGGTCACACTTATCCCTTGGATTTGGTTTACTTATCAGACTAATATAGGCAAATTTCGAGCTCAGAAAAAGCAGCCATAGACTTAATAATAATGCAGGAGAGGAAACAAGAAATTGCTTCTGCTCATAACATACTTGCGTATATTTTAACATAAAGTTTCTTGTAAATCAGCTTTAGGTCTGTCATTGAAAGAGGAAACAGGTTTAGACACATTGAACGGCACATACATCAGCATACAGAGTGAAATAGCCATCTACTCCATCTTGTCCTGTGATCACTCCGTGACGACGATTAACTCCAGCAATCACAGCTCCTTGGAATTCATTCGGTGCTACAATTTCCACAGACATAATGGGCTCAAGTATACACAGAGTTGCATTTTCCACAGCTGGGTAAAAAGGAAGATGAAGTAGAATTAGTCACATCCTTATGCTTCCGGCATCCATGCATATTACACATTCTTCAAAAATTATCTAACTCAGGCGTGCAAAATTCTATTCAACCACTAGCCCACAGGACCTGGTCCAAAGCCCATTGAAATCAATGCAAGTTTTTCAAAGTGCTTTGGATAAGGCCAAAAGTGACAGGCAAGTGTGTTCATTTCCCATTATAATCATCAAGACAGTAAATGGTGAGAAAACAGATGTTGCACCTGAGCTTGAAGATTTCCATGGCAGTTTTGAAAGGTAACACTTAGCTATAAGTTATACTTGTGCATTGACCATCATAGGAACTAGTGGAGAATCCTGGCTGTGATTACTTGATATTAATAATATTCTGGCACACAACAATGTCAAGAGCTTTCATGATTAATGTTAAGGGTACTTCTTACATTACTGGAGAAGAATGTCTTGACTTCCAACCTCCCTCAGTGAGTACTTGCACTCTTTATATCATAGATTTTAAGGCCAGAAGGGGTCATTATGATAATCTACTCCAGTGGTGCCCAAACTTTTCCTCTCGCGCCCTCCCCTTACCTGTAATGGAATGTGTCCGCACCCCCTTGCCCCCGAGGCCAGGAGCAGAGTCGCAGCCGGGGGCTGGGAGCGGAGCCCGAGCTGGAGCCAGGGGATGATGCTGCAGCTAGGGCTGCGGGGCCGAGCCGTGGACACAGGCCAGGAGCAGGACTGTGGCAGGGGGCCGGCAGTGGAAGTGGGGTCACAGCTTCAGCTGGGGCCAGAGCGGGGCTGGAGGCAGAGCAGGGCTGGGTAGTTTTCCCTCCCCGCCCTCTGTGGGGGCTGGCTCGGGCCCCCCCCAAACCCCTCCAGACATTCCTCCATGCCTCCTTAGGGGGGATTGGGGACCACTGGTCTAGTCTGCATAATACAGGCCACAGAACCTCCTGCATAATACAGGCAACAGGACTGCACCCAGTTATTACTCCATCATGTCCATAACTTCAATTTGAACTATAGCTTATCTTTTAGTCTTGAAATACTTGATTTAGACGCTTGAGTTACTGTGTCATCAGTAATATTTTTGAGAACTGAGAATTAATAATAAAATACTGAAAATATATTAGTTCAAGAAGATGCAAGCAGAATGTCAAAGCCTCTGAGGGCATAATGTAACTTCATATGATTCAGTGCACATTACAGACCCATAATGTGAATTTCTCGGCAACTGTTGCTAATAGGAGAGTGCCTTGAAGACATAGGACTGTCCTACAGTCTCTACACAATACGACTAACTTTTATTATAGAGCAAAATGATTAGAAAATGCTGGTGCAGATTCAATGGTAAGGTTTACCCCCTATGAAGAATTAATTTGGGGTATTTTGCTGAATGGGCATTAGGAATGGGGAAAGAGGAACCATTTCCTGAAGATGCCGTCTCTTCTAAATAATCTGACTTTACTTTAGGCTCAGCCAAATACCATCTCAGATACTCTTAGAAAAAATTTACTTCCCTGTTTCCTTGGGGAAATAAAAACTCCCTACAGAGGTCTGACACATAAATCATACTTTCTAAGTTTTACTTAGAAGGGGTTTCTATTTGCTGTTTCAGCTTGATAGATTCAGAAAAGATCTGGCAGCATCATTTAGAACTTTTTCAACAAGCATTTGAAACTGTCAGTTTTAGGGATGGGGAGGAGGCATGATCACAATTTGTAGTATAAGAAGCAGAGACATAAACCCATCTTAAAAGAGATCAGTGCAGAGATGTTGTATTTGACTTTGAAATTAAATATAATCAATTACAATTGCTTGGAACTGAGTGATCAGGGCAGGTTCCTATGACAAGTGTTTTATTATTTCTGCAGAGTTTAAATGCTATGAAAAGTTTTCATCCCTTCTAACCCAAGTGCTATTAGAATCAATAGCTTCTTAGTACTGTTGGAAGACCAGCTTCTAGAAGAAACCCTTTATCGATTTCTCAAAAGTTGCCAATCTTTTACCCTAGCTGGTATGTCATGTGCGTTCACTAATTTGTAACGTTTATACAAGGGAAGATTAAGTTTACCGGTACAATATCAGAGTATATGTTTTTTCAAATATGACTGTACAATCTAATTTTGTTAGTGATGAATATAAGCCCAGATGGAGCCATTCAGGGAGTATGAATTAAGATGTAAATGTACAAACATTAGCCAGATTTTGATTTCAGTTTCACTAGTGCAAATAAGATCAGAATCTGGCCCATTGTCTAGGTAGGAGCTTCTGAGTTTTCTGTCTTCAATTCTGTGAATCATTCTGATAAAGTCTATTATCAGATAGCATTTCTAAAGCATCAATTTTTATACCATTAAAGGAACCAATGTTCCACTGTAACAGCTACCTACTCTGCATGACATTCCAAGAGAGACTGTTCAAACATAATTACTCTTACAGGTGTCTATGATTAGGGAAGGGGTTGTTCCCACAAAGATCTATGCAAAAAGGGTCCATTGTCTCTTTCCTACAGCTTCAGGAGTGAGGTCACATTCCTCAGAATGACTATTTGGAATTTCTACAAATCTTACACATCCACTACTCAACACAGGTTACATTTGACTGACTGCCTCTGAATGGGAAATGTGTATGAGTAGGCAAGCAAGCAAGGAGCATAAAAATGAAATCAACAGCTTAATTTGGTTTTAACAAAGATTCAATCATGAGCATGTAAAACAGCACATCTTCAAAGTGGTTGATACCTTGTTTGAGGGCCCCTTCTCCTGCTCGGATGAAAGAGAATTCATTAGAATCCACCATGTGATGTGCACCATCTTCTAGGACAAACCGAACTCCAGAAATCTTGTGACCTATCATAGGACCCTTTTCACACGCTTCACGGAATCCCTGTGGAGAAGTGTCTCAAAGTTAGCAATTTTCACCCCAAAATACAGCTTTAAAAAAGGATAATGTTAATGGCAGTGTGTAAGGAACAGTAAACTGCCTCCAGAGATTATGCATCAAGTCTTTTGCTAAGAGAAAAAGCTTCACAGCAAGCATAATCCTAAACTATGAATTCTAGTCCTATTACTTGACACGAAGAAAAAACAAGACCCAAAAAACATAATATAGTAAAGGAAAGAATGTTTCTCCCTCAGAAGAGTTTGAAAGCTTTTTACTGTCATTGTCTTAGACTTTGGTTTGCTGTCACTTTGGAAGAGGGCTCTGGTGAGGAATTCAGGGCAAGTTTTACTTTAAAAAAAAAATCTAGCTAGGTTTTTATAAGATTGCCCATGATTGTGGTATCTAAAGTATCATCCTGAATAGAGAGAGAATGGCTTGACTAGTATGATAGCATACTTTTTTTTCTAGGCAGTGGTTGGCCAAAATCCTTCTTTTGTTGTGCGACTGAAGTTAGGGGTGCAAAACGGAAGTGTCTGAGAATGACCTCAGTTTGCATAATTAATAAGAGATTCAGAAATATGGCAACATAAAATGGTACAGCAGTGCTATAATGGAGACATTGACATTACCATGCTAATATTAAAAGTTATATGTACTAAACTATACAGCCACATAAAAACAGACGCACACAGTGGAGACATTTGGGAAATTATTCAGGAAATTTAACTTAGTTGGAGTTTCCTGCACAAAAAGATCTCAGATATGTCACAGACATACTGCATTTTTCAGAATTTGCTGCTGGTTATACATACCCAAAAGCAGGTACATTCAGGAAAGGGGATGTTAGAAAACCAGTCTCAATGGAAGTAGGATTCTTTTATTATAAATTCTGAAAAACAACTTGTTCTTTTTTGTTTGTTTGCTTGTTTTACATTGAATATCACATGCCAAAGATCAGAAAACTGATCTGTTTACATTGTCTGTAGTAATAGAAATCTTAGGAATTGGGCAAAACATAGCAAAATCACTTTTAGGCCTTGATCCTGCCTGAACCTGAATCAACAGTAAAACTCTCATTCCCTCCAATGGTCTCCTCAGGGATGACAATAGGAGGAAGGTAAGAACTGTGCAATTGTTATATCACAAATACAAAATATTAGAAAATATTTGTCACCTTTTCAACAGCAGGTACAAACTGCTTTGGGACGTTTGTTCCAATAGTTCTGTCTTCAAACTCCAACTGCGTGTAGTTCTCTGGATCCAGAGGCTGTAGACACCCTATTACTTTACCAAACTGGCCTGCCCCACCAGACTGTCTCTTGTGAGTATAGTCAAACCTAAAAATACAAAACACTGTGTTATCTATCATAGAAGCTATGCTCGAGTCTAGTCAGAATTCCAAAGGAATATGTCCCTTTATTGACATTTTGCTTTATCCTATTTAGTTATGCATAACCAAAATGGCTATGCATTTCTATTAATCATTGAATAGCCAAGAATATTCAAGGACCCACATGATGAACAGCATGATTCACCATTCTCCAAGAGAGTAAAAACAGGCAGGATACTACTTGAAGTCATAATCTCAACTGTGACATCAATTTGTGGATGCAAAAACTGGGATGTCAAAAAATGTCTGAGATGTTCAGATAGGTAAATAAAACCTTGACAGGATTAACTTGTTAGAAAGTTGTCATGCAAATGACACTTTTAACAGAGAATGAAGAAAAATATAGACAACATTTTTGCAAAACAGAAATTCAAATTTTTCATAAAACGTTAGCTGTTTAAGCATGGATGATCCAGGTAGTCCCTCACGCTAACAAGGATGCGCTGCTGGGGCTTCTAGTGGCAGAATAAGCTCCAAAAGTGAATTTGCATAATAAAATGTATTATTGACAAAGAATGTAACAGCAGAGACTGGATTTATGAATCAGGCACTAAAGGGGAAGCTGGGACAGGGCTGATCACAGACCTGCCTAGTCCCACTACTGGAAGCCCCCACTGGCAGGGTTCATTTTAGTGGCAGTATTTGCAAAGGAGAAGGACTGTGATGTATAGTGTCTTACACACACACACCTTCCAGCCTCCCGCATTAGCTTGTCCCAGCTGCTGCGGCTTCTCACTCCTCCTCCGCAAAAGCTAAAGTGAAACACAGCTGTTCCTGTTCCACCGAAACAAGGTGACTAACAGGTGACCCGCAGTGCCCCGTGGTGCACACGCATCAGCCGCGCCGCTGGGCACGGAGGCTGTAGCGGCTGCTTCCTGCTTTTGCGGAAGCTGAAGGGATCGTACACTCCCTTTCGTAATCCTTGCTCCGGCCTCGCCCTTCCCACTTGTGCTAGCAAGTAAAGCGCCCTGCTCCATGGAGATCCCCCCGTCCCACTACCCAGCTACGAGAGCAGCCGCCCTAGCTGTGAACTACATCAACTACCAGCATGGCAGCCCCAGTAAGATCTTTATGGTGCAGCAGGTGACCAAAGCCAGCAGGGAGGTGAGTGTGTGCGGAGGGGGAAACACTGCGAAGAGGGACTGGCCAGAAACACCCCGGCACATGAACTAGAACGAGTTAGCCTGGGTCTGGAAAGCTGGACACCACCCAGCGCACTGAAGGCATATACGGCGGAGATATGCTACTTTCCGTGCTGGCTGCGGTGTAAGGAAGTGATTGCTCCAGAGACACTCCCCACTCCGCTGCTCAATGCTGATTTAGAAGAGCGCAGAGTACAGAGCCCAGAGCCCGGGCAGGTAGAGTCCTGTTTCCCAGCCCCCGGGGGAGTCTCATAGCAGCGTCACACTCATACCAGAGATGTTCCTTTGCAGTGCTGTAACTGAGTATTTACCAGCCAGGCAATATTAAGGCCCCCAGCTAGGCTACAAAATAGCCATATTATAGTCTCCTTTAGTCTTGTGTCAGGACATTAAAATATATCTTTAAGTCACATAGACTTAATCTTCTAATGTTAAAATATTGTTCCCACACAAGACCAAGTTTTAACCCAGGAAGATTTAGGCTAAATTATGGTTCTCTGCTATGGCTTTAAAAAAAAAGTGTCCACACAAGTAAAACTACAGTGTTACCCAGGCTCCTGATTTTATCCTGAGTATTGCTGTGTTTTGCCTAAAGCCCCAGTTCCTGGAGTCATACAGTTCTCAGCTTTCATTAAACAAATAACATAGCTCTCTTGGTTGCAAATAAAAGCTTGGAAACATAAACCACCCCCGCCACCACAAGACAAATAAAAAGAATGCCAAATTTATAATTTAAAATCTCATGGATTTCAGTGGGGGGTATTTCCGATAATAAATGTGTTACAAATTAATTCTGCTCTTAAATGGCTCCCAGAATTTGTGATGTGGTCTTTGTGTTTTAAAATTCCTCCTGCTCAGTCCTTCATACATCAGAAACAAAGCACATAACTTCACATTAAAAGAGAAACAGAAGATGCTGTGAACACTTGAAGGCTTAGATTCTACAAAGACTTATGCACATGCTTGACTACTCACATGTGTAAAGTTACTCATGTATGTACATGTCTGCAGGACCAAAGCCTAAAAGTCCATCCACTCAGTGTATATGCGCATGTAAGATGCCTACATTAGAACTTTGCTGTTTTCAGTGACTAGGAGGCCCACTGGGAGTTTTGTGTACATTTGTTTAGGTTTTGATGAACAAAAGGACTAAAAATCCTAAGTATACAACTAACAATGTGTACTTATTTGACAATTGCACTTTAATGTTACGTGCTCATAATACTTGGCATAATAAAAAATTGATCATTTAGTAAGAAAATATAAACCCTTACTAACCGCTCTGCTATAGTTTTTGCTGAGATGTTTGGTGGGACTACTTATTCATGGGAATTGTAAAAAGATTTGTATTAGTGAAGTGGTGCTGTATTGGGCCAATCAGTATTTACTTTTGAAAAGAGGAAGGAAAAGGAGGTTATAACTGTTAAAGTGGGATTTCTTGTTCATCACTTAGCAGGAAAGAACAAAACTGCTTTTACACCTTTCTCTAAAAAGATCTGATTTACCTCTTAGAATTGATCTTTCCCTGTGTCAGGGAAGATTAAAATCCTTTCTCCCCTCCACTGAGATCAGCTCCCCTATCCATTCTACCTGTCACCATAAAGCACTGATAAATGCCCACAGATGATTAAGTCACTGTTCAAGAGTTTCTTCCTTCCATACAGGAATTCTGTAGCTCTCCTCAATCCAGAAAGGATCACTGTTGATAGTTATTCCAGGTCTGGCTCCACAAGTAACAGAACCTTGGATTCTTTCCAGATTGAATTGCATTAACCCCTAACTTGCCATACTTTCTCTCATTCTCAATTCAACTCTTCTCTCTAGGAGACTACTATGCATGGATGAAAGTCATGTTTGAGACTGTGCCTTTAGTAACTTGAGTTACAGATTAACTTACATATCAATAACCAAAACTGCTGCTTTGTCCACAAACATCTATTTGATAAGTAGGCTGAATTGTCTACTGGATTGAACACGTCAGGAAGCCAGGAGCTCCCGAATTCTAATCCTGACTCTTACTTGATAACGATTGCCTTAGACAAGTGACTTGACTAACACTGAACCAATTCTCCACAAGAGTGTAGTAAGGATTAGTCACCATTTGTGCATTCTGAAAATGGACCACAATATAAATGCTAAGTATTAATAAACCTGTTTATCACAGCTTTGAGCTTTTTCTTCATTGTTCTTACAGATAATAGCTGGGACAGATCTGCTCAAATGTCTCATGAACCAGTTGCTCAAAGATGTCTTAAGTGGCCTTTCTCCCATTACTGGCACAGTCTGAAGACTAATAATTAGCTTGTGCCCATTTTCTTTTTTGTAGTTCTGAAGTATGGAGATAAAGCTGTTATTACATCTGCACTGCCCTCTCCTCAGACAACGTCCTTTTATATCAGATCAAAGCAGCAGAGAAAGCATAAATAACCTGGCGGTGGTAACTTCTTGCAAAGACTGTTCTCCAGTTCAACACTTCGTGTACTATACAATCTATTGTGTTGAGATACCTGGTTACAATGTGATTAAAACAGTGTAGGTATGAATGAACTATGTTCCAACGTGTGCAGCAGCCTTGCTAGTGCCCCAGGAGGTAGCACAGTTCAGGAACATAGCTTGATTCCATCTACAATGCTAGTATGAAACATGTTTAATAGAGTTGGGGAGAGGGAAAGGACTACTGTGTAGTAACTGTGCCCGCCAACACTGCAGCTCCTACTGTACTGATGGGATTTTAGGCTCTGTCTCTATTGGCCAAGGAATCAGTTACCACCTTTCCACCAAGAATGCTGGAAAGATTGTCATGGTTACTATCAGAACAGCTGGGACTCTCTCAGCAAAAAGCTGCCCTTGATTTGAGACTGTACCATGTTCCAGAACACAGTTAGCTTAGGCTTGAGGATAAGTCTATCATATTCTGTAGTGTTTTCATTTTACAGTTCAAATACTTTAAGACCATATACAGTTCTTAATTCCTGGAGGGTGAAAGTCACCCAATGCACATGGTCCTCACAAGGCTACTATTATTTGTAATAATTTGTGCTTAGGAGCAGTAAGGATGGGTTTTATGTGGCAGATAGGACTCTGCATGTTCCCTCTGCACTGGATGTATTTCACCCGATTGGACTTTAAATAAACTGGACCATGGATAACTAACCAGATGTGACATCAGGAACGTTGGTGCTGTGTATTAAATGACTAAACTTTAAGTCTGGTCACATGTACACAAAAGATAAGTAAAGAGTTACATATGTACTGTACAGGGTGGCACTGTGTATTGTCATACTTCACAGGAATAACCTGAACAATCTCCATCAGATACAGAAATGAGGAGGATTAAAAACAAAACAGTTTAACTTTTTAAAAATATTTCCTCACTTTAGGACATTGCTGATGTTGGGCATAAATACCACCTTAAATTTTCACTGGAAGATATCCTCCACAAGGTGAGTTCTGCTTTATATACTTGAATTGTGAATTCTTTAGGGCAAGAATCATCTTTTAATTATACACGTAGACAGCACATAGCATAATGGAGCCCTGCTCTCTGTTGGGGCTTGTAGACTGTACCAGTAAATAATTATTTGAAAGTGAGCTGGTTGTAAAATTGGAGCACAATACACAAATTTCAGAGCTCCCTTCATTGCTAATCAGGCCATAGGACTGGATTTAACCAAAAGAAGAAACAGCCAGCTTTGGCACCATGAAAGCCCTGAAAAGTCACTTTTTGCTGTACAATACCACGGTGAGGCAATTAGCATATTTAAAAACAAGGATGTCTTAGTGTCATCCACTGTGAGTTAGATCACATCTTCAATTTGCAGACCTAATTTGAATATATTTCTCTAGCTAAATAACAAGCAGAATACTGTGTCAAATGGATATAAAAGGGAAAGCACCATCACTAAATATATAGCTTTGACATGTTCTATATAAACTACACAGAAAGTCTGTGAATATATTTTAAGGGTAATTAAGATTTTGACCCTGCTTTAATCTTAATGAAATAGTCTGCACATACTCACACACATCAGACTTGCAGAAAAAATGGCTAATACATAAAACAGTAAAATAGATGCATTGTGGAGTTTTCTACGTATTAACTGTATTTTACTTTATTAAAATGGATTAAATCCATGTAACTATTTCTGTAACAGGAAAATGCCATTAACTGCACTGCTGAAATTCTTTATCTTCTGAGCAACCAACGTACTGCGCCACAAGTGCATTTTACAGTGGAAGGAGAATTTGGGAAGAACACAGATGAAGCAGATAACAAATTTTACAACAGAATCAAGAGCCTTCAAGAACCGTTGGTTGCACAAAATATTCCAGGTATGAAGATGAGGGAAGGGATTTTGGCAGAAACCTTCACCTTCTTCATTCAAACTTTAGTGTCAAGCATAGCAGCAGTGAGCATTCATTAGTTTTGAACGTGCTGAGAATGACTTTTTTTTTTTTTAATTGCTCTTTCCCTGAATACTTATTAGGCTAGTTGCTTTGCTTTAAAAATGTACGGCTCATCACTGTTGTTAGCATTATAATAGCTACTGGAGGCTCCAACTGAGACCAGGCCCTCATTGTGCAAGGCTCTGTACTTAAACACTGGAATAGATAATCCCTCTTCTGAACAGTTTACCATCTAAATAGAAAAGCCAAACAAAGGATAGAAGGAGAAACAGACCTTTCCCAAGGTCACACAGCAGGTCTGCGGTACAGCCAGGAATAGAACCCAGGTCTCCTGACTCCTAGTCCAGTATCCTACCTACTAGGGTGAGATTGAATGAGTTTCAATTTCAGATTTTCACACATTTAATACATATTATTTGCTTTGGTTCTCAGACAATTATGGCAACATGTCCCCAGAAATGGAGCCCATCAGCCATCTAGCCCGGGTGGCCTGTGGTTATATAATATGGCAGAACTCCACTGAAAATACATTGTACAATTTGGTTCAAATCAGAGATGTCAGGCAGGTGGTAAGTAATGCACCTATCAATGCACTGGGATGATAATAATTAGGAATAAATTCAGAGAAGCTGCTATGTAAGGATACTCCATTGTTAAAACTATAGATTGCTGGAGGATAAGTAGAAAAACATTCAGATTTAAGGTCTACAATGGAACAGATTCTGTGAATCTGACTGAGATTTGGACAATATCAAGATTTCAAATGGGTTCTTTGCCTACACAATTTTGTGAATGGTGAGCAATGTCCTACCCTGATTAGGGTATAAAATAGCAGTTTGAAATATGTACATACTGACTGACCTATTCCTTATTCTCTCTATCCTTTGCACCTCAAAGTTGATATGCATTTATATATCAATACTAAAAAAAATTCAGGACACTGAACATAACAGGACAGCTTGCTCTCTCTAGGTATTTATGCCACAATCATGGTATTAGTACAAGGTGTTTCTGGAATCTAATATTCAGTGTCCCCATTTCTGAATTCATGCACATTCATGTGATTGCATGTTTTATAGACCGTGTTACAGGAGCACTCATACAATGGATGCAATTAGATATCACTATCAAAGAATGCATCCATAAAGGAGCAAACCTACCCAGTCCTAATCCCTCCCAAACAGTTAGTATGTCAAAGGACATGCTCCAGGCAGAAAACTGAGCTGCTTTATGGCACAGGCCAACCTACACCTGTAATCCATACCCCTCATGTGAAAAGCATACCTCCTAGGATTGAGTCAAAGCAAAAGTAATTACAAAGATTTCTATTTTAAACCATTCCTATGAATTTCTTTGTCTGTTACAATTTTAACCAAGTAAATATTTTTTCTGCTCTAGCAAAACAATGTGCCTACTTGATGACTGGATTGTTCTCCTGGGTCTTCTCTTCGTTAATTTAATTTTGCTCCATTTCTCATACAGTTTCTTGGTGACAACAGTATTGCAAGTTTATTAGTTAAGTCTTTTGACATTTTTTCTGGTCTAATCACTTCATTTGATTGGGTTTTCTATTACTTTTCTTTCCTTCATTTATATTCTCTGTAGGTCCAATTTACAGTAGTCTTACATCTGCACAATATCAAAATACTTTCCTTTATCTTTTAGTCTACACTACAGTCTCATAATCAGTCACAGTAATATTGTTTGACATCTCTATGCTATCTGAGTTTGGACAAATAGCAATGGGCTGCATCTCCACTCCAATAAGATCAAAATCCATCTATGTTTGTACTGGTTTGTAACACTCCGGTCTTCAACCATTGTTAATTTACCTAAAAGGATATTCAAAGATGGGATCAAGTCTCAGTTTAATTCTTAATTTCATATCACCAAATATTACCTTTTTTAACCTTGCTCTTGCTATATGTTTCATTTCACTAAAGCACGTGTCTTAAAAGAATACTGAAGCAGCTCATACCTTGAAAGAGTTATATACCTGTAGTTGGGAAATGCCCTCTGAATTCTTCTCTTAAAACTGAAAGAGGGCCATTATTAATATGATTCATATAATAATTACTTTTGCTGCAGAAGCAGCCATCCAGCTGGCTAAAGCAGTACATTATTAGCTAGTTAATGTTCACAGAATTATATGGTATAGTGATCACTGATTAAGTTTGACAAGACAATAAAATGCATGAAAAGCAAGGCGATGGTCCCAAAGGGAAGGGCCAAAACATGTAGACATTATTTCATGTTTTATCTTTATTACTCTGTCTGATTGTCCATTGAAAATTTCTTCTTACTGAATTGATCTTAATGTGCCCTAAACCATTCAGGAGTACATGGCCTGTGGCTGCCAAAACAAATTATAGCTTTTCAAGTTAGTCAAAAGTAACCCATCTGACACAGCCAAAAGACCCTGTGGATTTCTTACCAGAAAGAGACTTCAACTTGTCTGAGTATAAGTTTCCTTAGGAAAACCATAGATGGTGTTTAGGTAAGTGGAGATCTGTTGACTCCCTGCTTCTATTGTCTACTTGCTGAGAAGAAATATGGATTTTCTTTTGCAATTACTGTGAGACAACTTACAATTCAAACACATTAATCCTGGACACTGAAACACAGAATAGGACCTGACATTCAGAATAACCACAACTGGCATATCATTTAGGATCATGCTGTTGTAGTCTAAACAACTAAGGGGCCATCATACATTTTCAAAGCCCAGTTTTGGACATTCAATATGTGCAATTAACTCAGCTGAGGTTGTGCGTGTGAAAGGAACACAGAGTCACAAATTCACTTTTTGGGAATGAAAAACTGTCACAGAATGGGGATAAAGACTAATCACCTGAGCATCATCACTTCAGTGGTGTTCATATCATTCTGGGAACAGAATTTGTTAATTAGCTTTTCTCCCTCTGGTGGCTGACTTGGAGCAGGAGTGGATCATGTGTGGATTTTAACACAACTGTCTGCAACAGATAAATTTTAGAACAGGGAAAAGCAGACACCATATAACACTTAAATTAGATTAAATTTCAGATCTGTGCTTTGTTCCTTTCATACAGAGCTAAGAAATTATTGGTAATTGGAATTATCAGGTTTCACTTATCCTTAGATTTTAGTCTGTTTTTGTGTATTCTGCTGTCCGCACCCATCTCTTATAACATGTTACCATGGTGAGAGTTCCTGGCATGTCTCACCCTATTAACATAATTTCATTTAAAAGTTATTTTCCTAGTTAGCATACCTTACAGACTTGAGATCTTGAAATCAGTGGGATTTGTGCTCCTAACTCATTTAGGCGCTTTTGAAAAGTCCCACTCTATTCACCGTTCTTAGGTGCAAAAACACATCTGTACAGAAGGAGTAATAAAGAGACCAGGGCCCTATTGTCTCTTCTTGCAAGCAGAAGAGATCCTTATTGAGTGTGTGGAATGCCAACACCAAAGTATCATTTCCCTCTTCCTTGGAAACCTGCAGAAATGCATGTGCTGTAGGGATTGGGTTTAGAGGCTGATGACAGGCCATAGGAACAGCAATGAGGGAGTTCCCTTTCTCACAGATCCCTGGAGTTGGGAGGCTACATCCCCCTGCTTCCTCTAACCCAGGGGTGGGCAAACTATGGCCCAAGGGCTGCATCCGGCCCTCCAGACGTTTTAATTCGACCCTCGAGCTCCCGCCTAGGTCGGGGGCTTGCCCCGCTCTGTGTGGCTCCCAGAAGCAGCAGCATGTCCCCACTCCAGCTCCTACACGTAGGGGCAGCCAGGGGACGCCGCACGCTGCCCCCGTCCCACGCACAGCCCCCATAGCTCCCATTGGCCAGGAACCATGGCCAATGGAAGCTGCAGGGGCAGCGCCTGCGGACGGGGCAGCGTGCAGAACTGCCTGGCTGTGCCTCCACATAGGAGCTGGAGGGCGGGGACATGTTGCTGCTTCTGGAAGCTGCTTGAGGTAAGTGCCGCCCAGAGCCTGGCCCCCTCCCACGCCCCTGCCCTGATCCCCCTCCAAACCCCTCGGTCCCAGCCTGGAGAACCCTCCTGTACCCCCAACCCCTCATCCCCAGCCCCATCCCAGAGCCCTCACCCCCCGTCAGAGCCCTCACCTGCTCCTGCACCCCAACCCCCAATTTCGTGAGTATTCATGGCCCACCATACAATTTCCATACCCAGATGTGTCCCTCGGGCCAAAAAGTTTGCCCATCCCTGCTCTAACCTCTTCACCCAAGGGAACAATTTTTTCATATCTCTGCATGGTGAAGTTCAAACACCTATACCCAACATTTATGCAAAAGGATACAATTTCTCTGAATTCCAACACCTTTCAGATTAGATCTGGCCTTGAAATATTCATATATTATGGACATAATGATTAATTTCCCCAACTGACTGGACAATGGCACATGCAAACATTTGCTACGCTTGAAACAAGATGTATAGTAATAGTGTTTAGTATCAACAGAAACAGAACTAACTTCTATGGGATTCCATCTGGCAGTGTTTTCCCATCCAAGATTATATTATGAACAGCAGTATCAGTGGTTGGAGGACTAATCCAACTGATTGCTGCTGCTGCTGCTAATTTCCCAAATCAGGTATTTTTTGTAGCAAGATTTGCTTTCCCTAAAATATGTACTAGCTTCTGCTGTTTACAATTCCCATGTAACTTTGGATTTTCTTAAATGACCAATTGCTCTACTCGGCTTCTTTGCCCAAACCCTAAATTATTCACAGTCACAAAAATCTAAACACACAACCAAAGCAAAGAGTCTCTATAGTAACATAAGTAAATGGAAAATGAGTCAACACTAAAAAAGTTAAGTTGTTTTGGAAAATAAACCCAGTATTTCCCTTAAAAGAGAACATTACATTAGTCATGCCTGACTTTATAAACAGAGCTGTTTGAGCAATCAGTGTGGAGTTAAACTTTGTGTTCGGTCTTTCAGATGTTATTTTGTGGTTAAATGAAGTGCAGCATAGAGCAAAACTAAATTTCATCTGTTTTATTCATTACTCTTTTGTAATATTTTGGACATTTTATTGCCGCCAAGTACAACTAAATGACTGTTTTTATTAATGAAAAGGTAACTTAAATCTCAGTCCTTGTTGTCTTGTCTTTATGTTGGTTCCAGAAAAGAAACGATGATTACTTGGAATTTGACTACACGGTCCTACTTCATGATATTGTTTCACAGGTAAAAGTTTTATTGTCAAGCAAAAGGGAAAATTAGATTACCACCTATGAATTGTCTTTCTAGAACCCGCCACGTTAGACAGACTGACAGTGACGTGTTCCCCCTTCACCCTGATGCTTGGACCAGTAGATTGGCTGCATAACAGGGCTAGACGACCCCTTCCACCTTGCATTCTCCAGAGTACTCTGCCTTCATTTGTATGCAGGTAGCAGACCAAGGGTCTCCGCTTATGTCAGAGCTTCAGGGATCTTAAATTCTTTGGTTATAATTCTAACTGACTACAAAAACTAAAGAGAAAAGGGTGAAATTCCTGGGCCGTTCCTGTGAGGTGGAGGAGGTTCTTTGAGCAGCTGCTCTCAGACCTCTCCACCAAGGGGAAATTATTGCTAGGGTGGACCCATTCCCCTTTCTGGCCATGTCTGAAGGGGATAAGAAGAGGAGCCAAGAAACATCCGGATCTGCTTAAACGCCCTCACAGGGACCAAAATGCTCATGTGTTGGAGCAATTTGGGCACAGAAGGGCCTGGTCTACACTGGGGTGGTGTCGATGTAAGATACGCAACTTCAGCTATGGGAATACCATAGCTGAAGTCGACATATCTTATTCCGACTTACCTCCCATCCTCACGGCACGGGATCGACAGCCGCGGCTCCCCTGTCGACTCCACTACCGCCGCTCACTCCGATGGAGTTCCGGAGTCGACGGGGAGCGCGTTCAGGGATCGATATATCGCGTCTTAACGAGACGCGATATATCGATTCCCCGATAAATCGATTGCTACCCGCTGATACAGCGGGTAGTCTGGACGTACCCAAGATGACCAGAGACATGGGGGAGGGGTTAGGTCCTCCATAGCCTGGAGGAATGAAAGCAGTGTACCCAACCAGCATGAGGGCAAGGTCCACAAAGAGCTGTTGGATCAGGCCATGGAGCTGCCCTCCACACTGGGCATGGCACTGGCAGCAGCACCTTAGATTTCCAAAATGGCACTATCTTACACCTGGCACCATCTTACTACACAGTACTGTGTCTCAGGTAAATCTTTTTTACAAAGAAAATAATTTGCATTTGATTTAAGGAAACAGTTTTAGACTCAAAGCTTTAGATATTGTTTAGTGTAAAATCATACACAGATAACACGAGATTCCCCTCCCATTACAAATATTACCATTCAGACACCCACTGCATCTTCATTAATATTTGCATCTCGTGAACAACACATACCATACTTTAGTCATCTGTAGGGAGGGAAGGTCCTGAAAGGAATTAGCCAACTAACTGCAGTACAAAGCACAGTTTTTGTTTCTTTTGCAGTCCTGCACTTATTTTTGTTTCTTAAACAGCAATCGGTATTCTAGTTCAGTATTGTTCTAAGAAAATTTCCAGTCTTCTCCAGTACATTATGTATGTTTTATCCACAGGAAATTATTCCTTGGCAAATGGAAGTTCTTTGGCATCCACAGCATGGAGTTAAAGTAATAAAGAACAGCTGTCAGCCAAAACATGCAGAGCAGGACTAGAAGCATATCCAGTATGGCAATAATAGAATCTCAGAAGCTATGGTGATGGAGAAGTCATATAAGCAGACAGGCGTATAGACAGACTAAGTGATGAACAATATCCTCACTCACTCCGTGAAACCCTCTATTCCTTCCATGTGTATTTTACTTCATGCCCAAACAAATCAAAATAAATGTTATGTATTTCTTTTCTGTAGTGTAAATGTTGTGATGAAGATACAATAAAATGTCTCAGTGCTTGGCTAATTTGGTGTATTATGCTGGATAAGGAGAATACTTACAGTACAGGTTTTGTTATGCTCTCTCTAAAGGCAACTTTAGGCTTTCCCATGGTACAAAGACAAGCATATTCTCTTTCCATTCGCTGCAGAGGAAGCAGAAAAAATCCAGGACTGTTCCTGTCAGTGACAATGTCTTTGATCACAGTCATTGAAGTAGTTTGAAAAAAAACAAACTGCGTGTCACTGTCATTCTGATATAATCCCTGTTTAGGAGCAGTAACTTCTGAACTGGAAGTGTTCCACAATACAGGTAACATCAACATTCTTATTCAGATTTAAGCTGTACAAGATTTTCTATGTTCTATAAAATGCCAGCTCCATTTAGTGTTATATAAAATTGTTAAAGGGACACTTTCATCTTGAAATACCATAAATTTTATAAAGTCAAAATTAGTTTTAAGGGAATAACCTCATACAGACTCCAGATCTCCCTGCCAATTAGTTTTACAACCCATTTTCCTTTATAATTTTTAGAGCTTTTTCTTCTGTTGCTAAACAGGGGAAACTGACTATGGTGACATTCACTGTAAACAAAAGGCTGTCAAATGTACAAAATGAGCAAACAGGGAAGAAAGTGCTCTTCTGAAATTTTAATTATAGTAAGCTTAGGTGGTGTTTGTACTAATAGGTAAAAAAATTTCAGCCCAAAGTCTGATTTTTAAGATGATAGAAAGCCTTCAACTAAAACTATTAATGCCCAGGAAAGATGACTAAGATGTATAACTAGACATTTATTAAACCACCACCTTAAGCAGCCAATAATTATTTACATTAATATTTTAGTGCTTTTCATTCTGGAGATCCAAAAATCCTTTATGAACTATGGTTCCAACCCTCCATTGGATCTAAACAAGTGGAATTTGCACTTTTGCAGAGCACTGGTAGTACAGCTTGGCAGGAATTTTTCAATTAAATGGTTTTTCATTGGAAATTACCGATTCATCAAAATGGATGTTTTCACAGGAAAAGGTCAGTTTTGATGATACTTTCATCAAGGTTTCTCAAATCCAGACTCAGACCCAGAATGTGGAAGACCTTGGTTCAAATCTCTGCTCTGCCTAATTCACACCATGAACTTGGACTTATGTCCAAGTCATCCCAGGTGACTGCCCCAACTACCAGGCTATTGGCTGCTGACTTTTTTTTTTTTGGCAACACATGTCAATTGATCAGTTTCATCCCAATGTGCAGTGGGAAATCTTTGAAATCTCAAAACAGCTTTCCACCCAAACTCTACCCATTGGCACCACACAAGCATAGTGATTCACAACTGCAGAATCAGGGCCTGTATTTTGTGATCACTTGGCCCACCTACATGAAAGATTGTGGCAGATGTTTTTAAAGCGCACAGCAACACTACACAATATCCTAGGGCAGAAAGTAAAGAGCAATACTATCCCCAGCCAAGACTCGACTGCATAGGTCTCAAATTCAGTTTTTATAATCACCTGAGCATAGATTTCCAAGTGCAGTTCTCCCATTCCAGAAACGATTGTCTCTTTGCTCTCATTGTCAAAGTGGACTCTAAAGGTAGGATCTTCTCTTGTAAACCGGTTCAGGCCTTTTGAAAATTTATCTAGGTCATTCTAAAAAAAAAAAAAAATTATACACATGCAAAATAAATTAAGCACTTTATTCAACATTCTATGAACAGCAGATGATGGAAAGGTCTGAAAAATTCATCCTAACTAGTTAGCACCGTTCCCTCCCAATAAGAGGTACATGGATTTGCCTCCCAAACAGATCCATAAGCTTATAATCAAGTTCATTCTCCAAACTCTTGTAAGTGTGCCTGCATGTGCCTTACCACAAAGCAAGAACACCCCTAGAGTAGGAAAAGAGGTCATGATTAGGTCAGCGTTAGCTAACCCCAATCTTTTCCTTAGTGAACGTGCAGGTTAACACCTTTTACCTTGATTTAGCGGATAGCCTTTTCTTAATGTAGATAAATCCCTAAAGTTAATCAGGGCCAACTAACACATTTTAATTCACATGTTAAACAATATGAGTAGCATGCTGATAAATGCATCAGCTAACATGTTTTAAGACACCACTCATTTTCACAGCATAGGCAAATACAGAGGGTTTCCCTCAATAAACTGTAAAATGACAAGAGTAGAATGATAGGGGAGGGAACTCAGACTGAAAGTTTTGTATGATTGACTATAAATTTGATTGACAGGCTCTTACCTTGTTGGAAGGCTTCATGGCTACTGAAATGACAGGTTCAGGGACATGAATCGATTCCTGTAGTAGTTAAAAAGGAACAGTTGACAAATAAACAAGTTTCAGTACAGCTGGCAATGCGATCATAGCAGAAAACTGAAGGTTTTGTCTCAGAGACCAGGGGTTCCAAACAAAGGTGACTATTTTTATAACATGGTCTTGTTCAGATTTACATCTAACATAGTAAAAGTAGGGATGCAAAATACCAAACGGTAAACTGGTAAGCATTAGTCTCCTGGTTAACCGATCCTAACCGTTAACCCCCAACCCCACCAGCCGGAGCAGCCCCGCGCCGGCCCGCCAACCCCAGCCGCCCTAGCTCCCCCCCCCTTTAATCATTTAACTGATTAAACGACAATTTTAATCATTTAAACGTTTAACTTTTTAAACGGATATTTATATCTCTAGGTAAAAGTTCAATTAAAATAATGTTATGTTCTTACAATCACAAAGCCAGGAAAATTCTGATTTAAGACTGTCACTTTGTCCTTGACCCACCCTCTATTGTGTGTAGTTTGGGCTTGTGTCTTACGGCATTGGGAATGAAAGGTGTGCATTGAAGAGATCTAAATCTATACTAGAATACTACCCTGATCACCACCAACCCTCCTAAGGAAGGAAGGAAGGAAGAGTACTAAGGTGGAAGGAAAGGGATAAGAACTTGTCCATTTGCCAAGCTCAAACCTTATGCAATAACTGCTGAAGGACAGTGGGATGAGGTGAGCATGACACATTCATATATACAATGTATTAAATTATTTTTGCAAGCAAGAGTGAGTGATATTTGTACAGGTTTATATTTCGGGTAACGGGGAGGATTTGTTTTTTATTGAATTATAAAACTGGATAAACATTGCCACAAGTGGACATGTATTAGAACCAAGAATCCTTCTGACCTAACATCATTTCAAACACAGTAAAGGAAACTGACTAGTTACAATTCTTTTATGTATATCAAAAAGGTTTTAAAATCTTAAGCTAATGATTTAATGGTTGATTGCTCATCAATGATGGTGCCCCAGCGACCAATGCAGTTATGGGAGTGATGATAAATGATTTTATATATTGTACATGACAAACCACCAACATATCTGCATTAGTTTTACAGCTCTCTCTCTCTTTAAAGCGCTTTGCCTTATCACATATTTTTAAAGCACTATAGCTCCTTCCCAATTTTCCTAATAAATTCTGTTAGTTCCTCTCAAGACCATGACAAAACTATATTCCAATACATACAGTAATTATAAGAAAAATATTTCTAATACTGTTGCTTGAATGGGAAATTACCTTTTTTCTGGACTGTGGCTCTTCTAGTTAGTTAAATGGTTTGGCTTCCATGTTTTTAACTCCAAGTTTTCTATTTATATTGACACATACAAAAAACGTTTTACCTATTATACCCAACTGACATTATACCTCCCCTGAGAGCTGACATTTGGTATTGTGTGTGTGTAATATCCTATATATATGCCTACATATATATCACAATTTTACATGTTTGTATCATTTTTAAGGAATCTAAACTGGCATCAGAAATGTTTCTAAAAGTTATTTTCAGTTGGATATCCTTTGTCTGAATAAACAGAGCATTTAAATTAAGAAAAAGTGGCTTAAGAACTGAAAGAATAAAAACCCGATAAAGTCCCAAGGTGTAATGGATCAGGTCCATGAAAAAAGTTGTACTTACCATGGAAATGTCAGTACTGGTTTTATCACTGAATGTATCCCCACTAGCACAATCAATTCCAAACAATGCACATATGTCTCCTGCATAAACTTCATCTACATCCTAAGAAGAGAAAGTCAGGTTAGGTATGTACATGGTATTGAAAGGAAATGGAAAAGCATATCTAATATACACACACAGCTACATCTGATTTCAAGTGGAAAGAACTATGATAAAAAGGACTGGGCTGGGATTTGCAAAAGGGGCTTAAGAGTCTACCTACTTTAACATTCCAGCTTTCATAGAATCATCGAATATCAGGGTTGGAAGGGACCTCAGGAGGTCATCTAGTCCAACCCCCTGCTCAGAGCAGGACCAATCCCCAACTACATCAGCTTTGATAAAAATGTGCTGTAAACAGCTGGATACAAACTTGACACGAAGATCTTCAGTGCTAATTCATAAAGAGTCTCAGTTTCAATATTAGTTAGCCCAAGAGGAAGGGTGGTAAGCATGTCACTTGCTAACTTTCACGCAGTCTTGACTTGCCCATAGTATTTAGGTTGCAAGAACTCTAGAAGCAAACCTACTTGCTTTCCACAGTTACATGTTTTCTGGATGGGGTAGTTTTTGTAGCATTTTGGGAGGTAGTTTTTAGTTTGAGAATTATAGTAAAAACCTCACAGCAGAGCTATTTCATTGGGGGAGCAAGGAAATAGCCTTGGAAAAATAGACATGAGTAAGGAAGCTGAAAAGGAGAAAGTGACATCTAGCCTTCTTCAGCCAGAAGGCCAAGAGCCATGTTGTAAGGCGTCAGGGGCGGAGAACAGACATATGTGGAGAATCCTCCAACTCAATGGGGAAAACAATACAATGGAGCAGATTTTAATTTCCAGTTCCACCTCTGGAAATCTATTAAAGGAAATAGGGTAACATGGGTCAAGTGAGAGCAGAATTTTGCCCTGTGTTGCTTTATTTTGAGATGCTGAACAAGCACCTCAACTTTTCAAAAAGCTTCAAGGACAGATAACAGCATCCAAAAGTTTTCCTCTTTCTAGTTCCTACACTTACCT